TCTGATGCCTTTTATTTCCTTTTGTTGTCTGATTGCTGATTATAGGACTTCCAGCACTATGTTAAACAACAGTAGTGAGAATGGACATCCCTGCCTTGTTCCTGATTTCAGGGGGAATGCTCTCAGTTTTTCCCCTTAAGGATGATGTTAGCCGAGGGCTTCTCATAAGTGGCTTTATGATGTTTAAATAAGTTCCTTGTATCCCGACTTTCTCGAGGGTCTTTATTAAGAAGGGATGCTGTATCTTGTCAAATGCTTTTTCTGCATCTATCGACAGGATCATATGGTTTTTATCTTTTCTTTTGTTAATGTGATGTATATCACGTTGATATGCGAATATTGAACCAGCCCTGTAACCCAGGAATGAATACCACTTGATCTTGGTGGATAATTCTTTTTACGTGCTGTTGCATTCGATTTGCAAGTATCTTCTTGAGGATTTTTGTGTCCGTATTAATCAAGGATATTGGCCTGTAGTTCTCTTTTTTTGCTGGGTCTTTGTCTGGCTTGGGAATCAAAGTGATGCTGGCTTTGTAAAATGAGTCTGGAAGTTTTCTTTTGATTTTTATTTTTTGCAATAGCTTGAAAAGAATGGGTATTAACTGTTTTAAATGTCTGGTAGAATTCCCCAGGGAAGCCGTCTGGCCCAGGGCTCTTATTTGTTGAGGGGTTTTTGATGTCTGATTTGATTTCTTCACTAGGTTATGGAGCTGTTCAGGTTTTCTATCTCTTCCCATGTGAATTTTGGTAGTGAGTGTGTGTTTAGGAATGTCCATTTCTTCTAAGTTGTCCAATTTGTTGGTATATTATTTTTCATAGAATTCCCTGATAATTGCTTGTATTTCTGAGCGGTTGGTTGTAAGACGTCCTTTTTCATTCATAATTTTGTCTATTTGAGTGCTCTCTCTTTTCTTCTTGAGAAGCCTGGCTAGAGGTTTGTCAATTTTGTTTACATTTTCAAAAAACAGCTGCTGTTTTCATTGATCTGTTCAACTGCTTTGTTTTTTGTTTTTTTGGATTCCATATTTTTTATTTCTGGTCTGATATTTATTATTTCTCTTCTCCTATTGGGTTTTGGGTGCTCTGCTTGCTCTCCCTCAAGTTCTTTTAGGTGCACTGTTAGATTTTGTACTTGTGTTTTTCTAATTTCTTGAAATAGGCCTGGAGTGCAATGTACTTTCCTTTTAGGACTGCCTTAGCTGCATCCCATAGAGTTTGGACTGTTGTATTTTCATTTTTATTTGTTTCCATATATTTTAAAATTTCTTCTCTAGTTGCCTGATTGGCCCATTCATTTTTAGTAGAGTGTTCTTTAACCTCCATATTTTTGGAGATTTTCCATACTTTTTCCTGTGATTGAATTCAAGTTTCATAGCATTGTGATCTGAAAGTGTGCATGGTATGATCTCAATTCTTTTTTTATTTATTGAGGGCTGCTTTATGTCCCAGTATGTGATCTATCTTGGAGAATGTGCCATGCGCATTTGAGAAGAAAGTGAATTCCAAGACCTCAGGATGTAGAGTTCTAAATATATCTGTCAAACCCATCTGGTCCAATGTGTCATTCAAGTCCATTGTGTCTTTAATGATTTTCTGTCTAGTTGATCTATCCATTGCTGTAAATGGAGTATTAAAGTCCCCTGCTATTAACATATTCTTATCTATAAGATTTTTTCCGTTTGTGATTAATGTTTTATGTATTTGGGTGCTCCCATATTCGGTGCATAGACATTTATAATTGTTAGCTCTTCCTGATGGATAGACCCTGTAATTATTATATAATCCCCTTCTTCATCCCTTGTTACTGCCTTTAATTTAAAGTCCAGTTTGTCTGATATAAGTATAGCTACTCCAGCTTTCTTTTGAATTCCAGTAGCATGATATATATTTCTCCATCCTCTTACTTTCAATCTGAAGGTATCCTCAGTTGTAAAGTTAACTTCTTATAGAAAACAGATAGATGGATTTTGTTTTTTATCCATTATGCTACCCTATGTCTTTTGACTGGAGCATTTATTCCATTTACATTCAGTGTTATAATTGAAAAATATGGATATAGAGTCATTGTTCCTTTGTGGAATTCATGCTTGTGGTGGTGTCTCTGATACGTTGCGTTCCTTGCAACATTTCCCTCATAGAGTCCCCCTCAGGGTATCTTTTTTTTAAAAATTTTAAATGTTTATTTATTTTTGATAGAGGGAGGGAGAGAGAGAGAGAGAGAGAGAGAGAGAGAGAGAGAGAGAGAACAAGCAGAGGATGACCAGAGAGAAATGGAGACACAGGATCTGAAGCAGGTTCCAGAATCTGAGCTGTCAGCATAAAGCCTGATGTGGAGCTCGAACCCACAAGCCATGAGATCATGATCTGAGCCAAATTCGATGCTTAACCAACTGAGCCACCCAGGTGCCCCCCCGCCTCAGGATTTCTTGTAGTGCTGGTTTAGTGGTGACGAATGCTTTCCATTTTTGTTTATTTGGAAAGACTTTTATCTCTCCTTCTATTCTGAAGTACCAGCTTGCTGGATAGAAGATTCTTGGCTGCATTTGTTTCTGTTCATCATATTGAAGATTTTCTGCCATTCCTTTCTGGCCTGCCAAGTTTCAGTAGATAGGTCTATTACCACTCTGATAGTTTTCCCTTTGTATGTTAGGACCCTTTTCTCCCTAGCTGCTTTCAGAATTCTCTCTTTGTCATTATATATTGCTAGTTTCACTATGATATGTCATACAGAAGATCGATTCAAGTTATGTTTGAGGGGAGTTCTTTGTGACTCTTGAATTTCAACATATACTTCTCTCCCAAGGTTGGGGAAGTTCTCTGCTATAATTTGTTCCCGAACTCCTTCAGCACCTTTCCATCTCTCTTCATCTTCTGGAATTCCTATGATACGGAGATTGTTTCATTTGATTGTATCACTCAGTTCTCGAACTCTCGTGTTCCTGGATCAGTTTATCTCTATCTCAGCTTCCTCTTTTTCTATAATTGTGTCTTCTAATTAACCTATTCTCCTCTCTGCCTCTTCAATCCATGCATTGGACGCCTCTATTTTATGATGCACCTGATTTATAGCATTTTTTAAAAATTCATCACAACTATTTTTAAGCTCCATACTCTTTGTAGCAATAGCTTCTCTAATGTCTTCCATGCTTCTTTCAAGCCCAGCGATTAATTTTATGACTATTGTTCTAAATTCTTGTTTAGTTTTGTTGCTTATATCTGTTTTTGAGCAGCTCTTTAGCTGTCATTTCTTCCTGAATTTCTTAGAGGAGAGTTCTTCCGTTTCATCATTTTGGCTAGCTTTGTGTCTCTTGTTAGTTTTGAAAGCTTGTCATGTGCTCTGCACCTTCAAGTACTGCTATATTAAGGAAGGCTTATTGACTGTCTAGGGCCTGTCCATTAAGGAAGTGTTCTTTTAATGTTGTCTCTTGTTATTTGATTATTTTATTTCCTTACTTGTAGTGGTATTTGGGACTCTCCACTATGTGTACTTTGGCTTGTTTCTTGAAGTAGCCCTCAAAGAGAAAACAGACAGACAAACACACAGGTAACAAAGGCACGCAAACGCAGAGACACATCCAACAAACGAGGAAACCAAAAGGGAAAAAGAAAAAGAAAATAAGAAAAAGACGAAGAAGAAAAGAGAAATGAAAAAAGAAAAAAACCAAAACACAAAAGGCAGTCTAAAAGTATAAAAACAGACTTCCCAGCTACAAATAGAGAGCAAGGTGTTTACAGTGCTGATGGAAGAGCATATACACTGAGAGAAATGTCAGGGAGGGGAGAAAGCGAAATTGGACAGTAACCAGACAGCAAGACTAAGAGGCTTAATTCAGAGACAGATAGAAGAATATGGTAGGAGGTGACAAGAAAGAAATGAGGATAGTGTTACTCAGAGAAACTATATAGTCTGATTACTCCAGAGAGAGAGAGATAGAAAAGTACCAGTGTAGGTGTAGAATATGCATCTAGAGAATGGATTAAATGTAACTGTTTAAGCAAACCAATGACCAGAGTGTCCAGTCCAGCAGAGGGGAGAGATACGAATGAGACAAGGTATCTACATCTGAATAGAATATCCTTTCCTTCCTTCCTTCCTTCCTTCCTTCCTTCCTTCCTTCCTTCCTTCCTTCCTATCTATCTATCTATCTATCTATCTATCATCTTTCTAATTTTTTTTGAGAGAGAGCATGTGTGAGAGAGCACACAAGTGAGGGAGGGGCAGAGGGAGAGTGAGGGACAGAATCTCAAGCAGGCTGCATGCTTAGTGGAGCAGGGCTCCATCTCATGGCTGTGAGATCATGACCTGTGCTGAAATTGAGAGTCAGAGGCTTAAATGACTGAGCCACCCAGGGGTCTCAATATTTTTCAACTTTCTGCTCACTGGATCCACATTGGGAGCCTGTAGACTGCTACTGCCTAGGCCCACTCTCAGGGGTTAGTCTGTCATGGGCCAGGCAGCAGGACTTTCAAAGTTTTCCAGACAAATCTAGTGTTAGTCAAGTTAGGGAACCACAGCTATAGAGTGTGTGCTCCTTCTCTAAGGAAGAAGTCCATGGGTAGTTAGAGGGGAGGGAGAAGGAGACAGCATCTGAGAAAGGGAAGGTGGGTAATCAATTAGATTGGTAGGCTTGGTGTGAGGTACTGAGTTGTGGTACTTTCTGCTCTGCCCCACCCCTGACTCAGAAGGGTCTAGTGGCCAGCACCTATTCACTTGTGTCAGGGCCTGGACCCAGGGGATTGTTTTCCCTCCAGATCTGTGGGAGGTTGATAAGAGTACATTTTCACACTGATTATTAAGGTGGGTAGTTGGTTGACTTTCAGAGAAATGCAATGCTGAGGGTCAACGGTACCTCTATAAAGATTGCCTTTGTTCATTGTCCAGCATTGCACTTCCTAAAGGGTCGTGTGTGTACCTCCCTTATATACCTAACTGTTTTAAAAATATTTAGGTTGCACAACTGAAGAGCATGGCTACTTTTATTTTCCTCCATTTGTGACAGATTGTGTGAGGTGCTCAACCTTGATCCAAGACAAGTCCTAATTGCAGAAGTGATCTTCACAAATATTGGAGGAGCTGCCACTGCTATTGGGGACCCACCAAATGTCATTATTGTTTCCAACCAGGAGTTGAGAAAGATGGTATGTATCAGTGTAATAGGTTTGCTTTCAATAAATATAGACCCCAACTTACTTGCCCATTTACCATTCTACCCAATGAGGAGGCTTTATTATAAATTAAACTCTTCTATGTCACTTCTTAATATCAAGTGCTATTGGTTATCTTGAGAAGGAAGATTAGGTGACTGATCCTTCAGTGTAGAGTGAAGTGGTTTGAATTGATTCATTTCCATTCTGATAAATTATTAAGAAAAGGATGTATAACATGATACACTTACGCATAGTAGATGATGTTCCCATTGTATTAATGGGAACTGGGGTTTCTTCCAACTAATATTAAAAATAAAATAATCTGTCTTTCACATTTTTGAAATGTGGTGGATGAATTTACTGATGAAGAACTTAAGATTTTTTTAAGAGTTGTAAAATGAAGGTATTTAGGAATTTTGGAAAGCTCTTATAAATACTAACATAATTTTTTGTATACTAAAGTAAAAACAAAGTATTAGAGAGTGAAAATAGCATTTTATATGGGGCGCCTGGGTGGCTTAGTCGGTTGGGCGTCCGACTTTCGCTTGGGTCATGATCTCGCGGTTCGTGGGTTCGAGCCCCGCGTCGGGCTCTGTGCTGACTGCCAGCTCGGAGCCTGGAGCCTGTTTCAGAGTCTGTGACTCCCTCTCTCTCTGACCCTCCCCTGCTCACGCTGTCTCTCTCTCTCTCTCTCTCTCTCTCCTAGAAATAAAAAAAAAAGAAAGAAAATAGCATTTTATATATCTTAAAGAGTTTAAAATGATATAATTTTCATTTATCATTCATTGGTAGATTTTCTCCATATCTCTTCTGTGAAGTGTCAGCAAAAATGCTTCCAAATTGGTATCATTTATTTTAGATGATATGTTTATGTGTGTGTTGTTGAAGTGTGCCAGTATGTTTATGTGTGTTGGTGCTATCTTTTATAAAAAGTATTTAAGCCTTTGAGCATGGCTCTAAGGTATTGAGATTCAGGATATGACTTAAGCGCCTTATCTAAACTTTAATACTCCCTAGTTACCCTGGGAAACCCTGGCAACACTTAACCAGGCTTCCTGTGTGAACTGAGCAGTATGCTCAGTATCATGTTATAACAGCACATGAGAAGGTGGCAGAGCCTTGTGATCTGTTCTAGGGGCACCTGTCACCCAGGATAGGCCTCATACATTTTGAAGAGAACTGTTTTTTAATTTTTTAAACATTTATTCATTTTTGAGAGAGAGAGACAGAGTGTGAATGGGAGGAGGGGCAGAGAGAGAGGGAAACACAGAATCTGAAGCAGGCTCTAGGATCTGAGATGTTGGCGCTGAGCCTAATGGGAGGCTCAAACTCATGGACCACGAGATCATGACCTGATCTGAAGTTTATCACTTAACCGACTGAGCCACCCAGGTGCCCTGAAGAGAGCTGCTTTTAGAGAAAAATACTGCTTTATTTTTAATTTGCAGTATTACATTTATTGTAGAAAATATAAATCACACAAACAAATTTAAAAAATTGTCATAATCTCACCACTCAGAGATAAATATTCTTAACGTTTTGGTGCATCTAGTTTCCCAGAATGTTGTATGTAGATACACATGGATGAAAAAAGATAACACAGTTTCTGCTCTGGCCAAGATAGAGTAATGGGGACTAGGTTTACTCTCATGCTTGAGACATCCAAAAATAAAATTAATGAAAATCCAAAAAACAAAACCCCAAACAAAGCAAAACCAGATAATGGCAATCAAGATACAGGCCATTAGGCAAACAAACAAAAAACAGTGGGTTTTTTTGAGAAATGGGAAGCAAATGAAGTGAATCTTATCATTGCCCCAGTTCACTGCCTTGATAGAATTTCCAGGATGCAGTACAGAGAGGGAAAAACCATTGTGGAGCTCATCAGACTCCCTGAGTTTAGGAGATAGAACTCAGAGAGACCAAGGTTAAGATGTCTTCTTTGGTGAATTCTCCAAATACTTAAGGAAGAAATAATGCTATAATACCAATTCTACATAAAACTTTACAGTAAATTAAAGACAAGAGAATACTTTCCAACTCATTCCATGAGTCCCTGATGCCTAAAGTGGACAAAGCCAGTATAAGAAAAGTATTAACAAATGTTTTATGAATATAGATTTTTGAATTTTTAATTTAAAAATATTAGCATATCAAATTTACTAATATAAAATAGATAATAGATCATATCCAAATAGAATTTATACTAGGAACGAAACATTGGTATGATATTTGAAAAACCAGTGTAATTCACTAACAAACTAAATGATAAAATTAACATGATCATCTCAATAGAGGCAGAAAAACTTTTGGCAAAATCCAACATCCAATATCGCTTAAAATCTCTAAATAAACTAAAAAATAAGAGACTTCATAAGTCTGATAAGGAGCACCTCTGAAAATTCTACAGTTAGCATAATACTTAGATGTGAAAAACTGAGTGTCTCTTTCCTTAGATAGAAACAAGACAAAGATGTCCATTCTCACCACTTCAGTGTAAGATTTTCGTGGGGGCTCTAGCTGACACATTAAGGTAAGAAAAGAGATACAAATCATCCACATCAGAAAGGAAGAAAAGTCTTTTACAGATGGCATGACTGTCCATATAGACAGTTGAAAGAATCTGTAAAAAAAGCTTCTAGAAATAAAAGATGAATTTGACAAGTGTGCTATACAAGATCAATATAGAAAAATTAGGGGTTTTCTATATTCTAGCAGTAAACAATTGGAAATTAGCATCGATATGTAAAATACTTCAGGGTGAATCTGACCAAATATATGCATGACCTGTGTACTGAAAACTATAGCATATTACAGAGTAATTAAAGAAGACCTAATTAAATGGAAAGAGATTCTTTGTTGATGAATCAGAAGGCCCCATATTATTAACATATCAATTCTTCCCAGATGGACTTACAGATATATTCAATCTCTGTCAAAACCATAGCAGGGTTGTTGTTGTTTTTGGTAGAAATTGACAAACTGATTCTAAAATTTATATGGAAATTCAGTGTCTAGAATGGCCAAAAATAACTCTTAATGGGAAGAACAAATTGAGATATCTAGTGCTACTTAATTCCAAGACTTATTATAAAGCTACAATAGCCAAGACAGTATGATATTAGCATCACTAAAAGTAAATAGGTAAGTGAGATAAAGTAGAGTCTGGATATAGACCCCCACATAGATGAACAAATGATTTTTGACAAAGGTGGAAAGCCAGTTCAGTGGGGAAGGAATTGTTGTTGTTTTCCACAAATGGTCCTGGAGCAAATTGGACATTCATATGCAGGAAAAATGAACATGAATCCACACTTTACAGTTTACCTAAAAATTAACTCAAAAGTGGATCACAGGGGCGCCTGGGTGGCTCAGTCGGTTAAGCCTCTGACTTTGGCTCAGGTCATGATCTCACGGTTCGTGGGTTCCAGCCCCACGTCGGGCTCTGTGCTGACGGCCGGCTCAGAGACTGAAGCCTGTTTCGGATTCTGTGACTCCCTCTCTCTGACCCTCCCCTGCTCACGCTGTCTCTCTCTCTCAGAAATAAATTAAAAAAAAAAAAAGCGGATCACAAACATAAATTTAAAAGCTAAAACCTTAAAAAGTTCAATAGAAAATTTATAGTGGAATAGGTATAGAACTAGTTCAAGTAAGAGCATGCCTACTGCATTTCATTAGATTGTTTTTAGAACTTGGCTTTCAGTTTCTATTATTTGTCTCCTTTTTTCATCTTCTTGTGACAACATATTAATGCAACAGCTTAGCTGTTCCTGGCCAGCATCACATTAGTATTAATGTAAAGTCCTGAACATGATTTCTTTCTTGGACACAAACTGAGTTAACTGTATCATTTTGAGCCTTGCTTTAGAGTCCTAAACTTTGAATGCTCTGAGATACACAGTGGAATGTGACCCAAGATAGGCTCTGAGTCTGGGGTCTCTAACAAGTCATATAAAAAGCTGAAGGGAAAGAGCAGTCTCTCAGACTAGTTCCATATTCCTCCATGACATGTTGACATGCTGTTGTAAATATCCAGAGTTTAAGTATGACAGTAAGTGAGAAAGGTTAGTTTCTCATAAAAATCCACAGAGGACCCTGGAGGTGACCACCCTCTCTGCACTGAGACTCAGCCTAGGCTTCTCAAACAGCTTTATGCCAAAGTGACATTCTCTAGGGAAATGGCTTTAGGGTTATCCTTGTTTTACTGAAGATGGAATTCCTTGTCTTCTACTTAATGTCTTTTCTTGAATTTTTGGGTTAAACTGTATATCATAGGAAAGGTATCTAATGAATGTCCTTTTGTGGATAACAGAGTATTGTTTTAATTTATTTTACAGTAGCTTAGAGATAGGAGAATACTTATTTGTATAGAGACACAAATGAACTTACAGTTACAGGGATAGTGTTTTCAGCAGAGATTAATTTATAAAACCTCATTATCAACGATAGCACAGCCACACATTTGTGCGCACATTTATTCTTCATTGTTTGGTTGTTATCTATGAACTGAACTAGGAAGAAAAAAGGATTATAAAATAAAAATTAATTTTTAAAATATTAGTAAGGGAAGTTAATACTCTATATGTAATTCAGAAGAGTAATAAAAAAAAACAGTACTGGAATTTGGAAAACTAAAAGAAGTCATTAAGAAAATTCTTCCACATTCCCTGAGGATTAGGAAGAAATTATAGGAAGTTATGAGGAAAGTTTTTCCAATGTACCCTGTTCCCTCCTCCCAGATCTCCTGGGATGGTTCTTTGTTTGTGGGATTTCCAGTACTGAACAGGTAGGTGGGAAGACTTCCAGGGTCCTCCTACACTGTAGTATTCCACCTGCAATAACGTCTTGTCCCTTCATCTCCCAGTGGGCTAACAGGGATGTAATTCTCCTTTGCTAGTTACATTTACTCTTTTATGCTTGTTCTAGGGAGAATCATTAGTGGCGAACACAACTGTTCAACTATCTTTTAAATAACAGTTGAAAAATCTGTTTAGGGGAGCCATGTCCCCTGTGTTTCTGAATGACATCTCATAGGTCAGAGGAAGGCTTTCTCAATGGTGCCCCAGAGATGTGTACACTGGGACATTCCTCAGGCCTTTCCCACCATGCACTATGCATGCTGGGATGTTCTTTTGTTGCTATTCCACCATGATTTTCTTCTACTCCATCAGCCAACAACTTTGATGGTGCTTCCTACTCTGCCTTTCCTGTCACTTACTCTTAGTTTCCATTGTGGGTTTTCCGATTCCACATGGATCTACAATATCTTTGGGCCTTGGAGTTCTGCTCTTTTTATTTTTATTTTTTCTTTTTACAATATTTCCTCTTGGGTCACCATTCTCTAGTGGAGCTCATGCTCTCCATGGCTTGCTTTGTTTTCTGTGTGTTGAGATCACTCACTTCCATGTCTCTTTCAGAGGTTTTTACCTTCCTCAGATCCATGTATGTCATGACCTCTCCTCCACATACTCCATGTATCCCTCACATGAAGGATGTCCCAAACCAGATTCCTCCTGTCATCACACCCACTCTACAGAGTTGGGCATCTTCTACTTATTGAGTCTCCAGACATGATTCAGTATTCAAATTACACCATGATATTTACTAAAACATTCATCAAATTCAGCTACACTATTCTCCAACCCAACTGACTGTTTTGACTTTGTTCCAGAGTTAGCCTGAAAGCATGCCTCCTAGAAAATGATATTGGTGGGCTGAGTCACTCAGCCAAGTGATACGTATATCCCCTTTGAATATATGTAATTTATGAAGCTGTGGGTGTTATAATCTAATTCTGAGGGGATCATCTTTTCATAGTTTTGCATGCCTCAAGTTTTGACCACTTCCATTGTCAAATGAGGACTTTGTAGAAACTTAAGAAAAAAAGTAGCTAAGTGGATCCAAAACCAAAAGAGCACCAAACAAGACTAAAGGGGACAAAATAGAACCAGCACCTTGCAAGAAAGGGCTGAATTTAAGCATTATATTGATGGAAATGTAATAGTGGGTGGTTTTGTTATTGAGAACATTAAGGAGAAGAGTAGGAAATTACAGAGATGTGTAAAGCAGCAAGGTGGCCCAGATTCATGCACCTAATAAGTTTAGTGAAAATATTTACATCTCATGATATATTTCACCTGCCTGTATTATCTCTTAAAGTTTCCAGCTGGAATTTTCCCACTTTGCATTGTTCTTACTTGATAAATACACCCATTACAACTCTGGTAGCAACCAAATACTTCTACTAAAAGTTGTGTTGTTTTGTTGTGGAGGCCCTCTCAGGACTCCCTTAGTCATTTTCTTTCTTTATTCTACCCCTCACTTTTTGTTTCAATTGCCCATTGTTTCTAACAAGACAAAAAATTATAGTTAATATGTTCAAAAGAGGACCCAGAATTACTCAGAATGCAAATACCTCTGCCTTAGTGGACAGCTTCCTTCAAAAAATATTAATTATGTTCTATGGCTGAGTTGATATAAAGACAAATATATTCATATTTTATTTTAAGCCATTTTCTTTGAATCAAAAGTTCTTATTTTGCTTCTCCCCCTTTTTAATTTAAATTTCAGTTTGTGAATATACAGTGTAATATTAGTTTGAGGAGAAGAATTTAGTGATACATCACTTACATACAACACCCATTGCTCATTACAATGAGTGCCCTTATCAACACGCATCATCTATTTAACCAATCTCCCTGCCCACCTCCCCTCAAGAAATGCTTTTTACTTTTAATTTTAGAAGAAATTAAAAGATTTTGAGGGGTCTATGAAAGTATCATGGACCTTTTTAAACCAGATGTTTGGGGTATAAGCTCCATAGATGAACACAAAGTCCAAGGTAATATACTCATTGAAGAACTACAGAGAAGTGGTGAAGGCTTATATGGTCATTAATTAATTCATAATGCTGTTTTCCAGGGTAAGCACTGAATGTGCAGATAACTAACTGTAAGAGATTAAGAACTTCAAATTATTGTACACTGTCAAGCCTAAACTCTGACACAACTTTATTGATAATGGCTTCTAGTTATATTATATCTTTTGTAAATTTAGAAGTGGTTTTAGATCTTTTCAACAAGTGAGAAGGACAAATAAATTTTAATAAGCAACAATACAGTAAACATTTCTCCTCCTAATGCAGGCCTTTGGAAGATGGTCTTCCTTACCTATGTCTTGGGCACTGTCTCTCAAGGTCTTCACTTACATTCTCTTGGACTTGCCCCTCTATCCCCCAGAATTCACCCTCCTACCCGTGTAAAGAGACTTTCCAGCATTCTGCGTGAGCACTTATATCTGCCTCAGTACTGTGGTCCCTCCTGCTCTGAGGTAACCCCCATACCTGTGCTTTGTCACTGGGACTCTAACCTCCTTTTTTGTGGCACCAGTGTTCCATAGACACTGCAGATAAGAGCAAGAGTTCTCACCTGTAAGAAGTTGGTTTTCATGGATAACTTCATGGAGACAGAAACCTTATTTGTCATGTTGAGGGCTCAGGGATCACCTGTACATATCTGCTGAAGCTATAAGCATGGAGTAAAAGAAAGAGAAAATCAGCCAATGTTGCTGCTGACTTATTCGTTGACAGATTAATCTCAGATTAACCTAGTAAAGATTTTGCCCCAAAAGAGAGACATCCCCAGAAGCTGACCATGGCAGAGAGTTCTGCAGACAGGCAAAGGAAGTGTGAGGGGAGAGAGAAGTTCTTTCCTGGGCCCTTTGTGGCCAAGAGGGACACTCTGAACCACCTCAGTCCTGATGGCCACTGCTCACATCATCCTGTGCTCTCCAGCCGAGGATGCTCTTTCACACAACATGGATTTAAATTAAATTTAAAAAAAACAGCTTATTTGAAATGGGCAAATATTGCCACATAGTTTTTTAATCTTTTTAAAATTTATTTTATTATTTTTATTTTTGCAAATAGTTTATTGTCAAGTTGGTTTCCATATAACACCCAGTGCTCATCCCCACAAGTGCCCTCCTCCATGCTAGGCGGATGTCCCCTTCCTCCCTCACCACTCCATGTGCGTCCCTCCTGAAGCTGCGTGCTCGGTTGAAGAGGACGACCTTCCCCGACAGAGGAGGACCGTTCTTTGGTCAAGGGTATATGAGTAGCTGCGCTCCCCTGCTAGAACCTCCAAACAAGCTCTCAAGGTCCATTTGCCACATAGTTTTTTAAAAAAACTTTTTAAATGTTTTATTTCTGAGAGAGAGAAACAGAGAGAGAGAGAGAGAGAGAGAGAGAATGTGAGCAGGAGAGGGTCAGAGAGAGAGGGAGATACAGAATCTAAAACAGGCTCCAGGCTCTGAGCTAGCTGTCAGCACAGAGCCCGATGTGGGGCTCGAACCCATGAACTTCAAGATCATGACCTGAAGTCGGCCTGAAGTCGGCCTGAAGTCGGACACTTAACCGACTGAGCCACCCAGGCACCCCAAATGTTGCCACATAGTTTTACGTTTTGCCCCTGTCAGTCTTTATTTGTCCTGAGAGAATGTGTCAGTCCTGTGGTGAAGGTAGACTCAGATATGATTGAGTTTGTCTGTGACAGTCTGTTTTTGTTTTCTCCTAAGGTTGCTTGTTATTCAGGTTGGAATTGTTTTATCAACATGAAAGAAACAAATCTTAAGCATTTTCAATATTGCAAAGAAGAGCACCTGTTTTTCCGTGGGGGTTGTGCTGGGCTCTGTGGCCCCCGAGCTAACACCCACTATGCTGACATGCCTGCCTCTGTTGGGTCTTGGTGTTCTGCCTTTCCTGGATCCCTCAGGTGGGGGGTGATCCCTGAAGAGGGAGGTGTGCCATCTGTTATTTCAGGGGAAAGTCCCATCTGTCATTTCATTTCCTCTTTCCTATTTCCAGGGCCTGGAATTCGCAGGATTTACTGCACACATGTTCATTGGGATTTGCCTCATTCTGCTGTTCTCCTTTCCACTCCTCAGACTCCTTTTCTGGAACAAAAAACTTTATAACAAGGAGCCCAGTGATATTGTTGGTGAGTATAAGCACCTCCTCATATAGTCTCAAAGTTTACTATCATATATATATATATATTTACCAGAGGGAATTGCCACAGACAGACAGGAGTTTTCTTACATATTGAGGTATGTTCCCATCTGTATTCTGGTATGCACTGTGCTTTCAGAGGCTTTAAATCCACGGGCCATGCGTCTTTAGTTTCCTGTAGAGTGAAATATGGGAGGCAGTGGCCACGGTATATAGTTCGCATGTCATGACATCATTAAACCACGTGTATACAACATAAGTAGCATAGTATAGAGATTTTAGTGTTCAAATATGTCATACTTTGAGATTAAATGTGATATAAAAGTGACCTCATGATCCAGCACAGAGGACAATGTACCATGTCATTCAACAATACATTGGTGAGGCACCAACTAGCAGGAAAAGGACTCATGAACATCTTATAGCTTTGCATTTTCCTCATTTAAAATTTTGGTAAATGTTTTATTGAAAACATTACTGATGAGGATATATTAGAAGCAATAGATTATTTGGGAAGCAGCCATACTCTCCTCAGCCAGACCTATACAGGACATTGTGCAGGTTGCACAGGTAACAGAGCACATCTGGGGACAGGAGAACATTAACAAAGGTGCATTTCTTTTTCTGTAGTTTCAGATGGTGGGGTGTCTTCACAGAGCTCATAGGTTGTATATTTACCTCTCTCATCCTGTTATTCCTCTGTCGTTGTGTTGTACAGGACTTCAGATTTTCTTTATCTTTAGTAAGATAATCTAATACCATTTTTGTATGAATAGGTAAGGATCTAAAGGTTTTCTTACCAGCCCTCTCACTCATTAGATGGTGACTGTACTTGGTAGATTCTCCCTGTGTGTGACTATATCCATATGTCCGCATTTATAAGGACACCAGTCATATTGTGGCCACCCTAATGACCTTATGACCTTACCTTAATTAATTACACCTGTAATAACACTATTTTAATTTTTTTAATGTTTTATTTATTTCTGAGAGAGAGCGAAAAACAGCGTGAGCAAGGGAGGGTCACAGAGTAAGAGGGAGACACAGAATACGAAGCAGGCTCCAGGCTCCGAGCTAGCTGTCAGCACAGAGCCCAACAGGGGCTCGAACCCACTAACCATGTGATCATGACCTGAGTCAAAGTCGGACGCTTAACTAAGACACCCAGGTGCCCCTGTAGTAACACTATTTTAAAATAAGGACACATTCTGAGATATTGCTGATTAGGATGTCAACACATGGATTTGGGGCGGAACACAATTCAAACCATAACAACCAGTTAGAGATGTTCAGAATGTTTTATCATCAACTAGTATATGTAAAATGAGATAATTTAATATTTTAGTTTAGTTTTCTGATGGAAAGAATTGCAACAAGAGTGAGCTAAGGAAATTGATCACAATGGATATCCAGTCAATCCAATGGATGAGGGTGTGGGCATAGCTGTACATCAACGGAGATTTAGACAGTTACCTTGTTCAGTTATGCCAGATTTCTCCCAACCACCCTGGTGATAAGAATGACTTGAGAACAGAGTGCATAACAAGCTCTGGAAACTAACAAGAGATAGAAAGCAAACCAAAATGAAGAAACAGAAGAGCTCTCTTCCAAAGAAATTCCAGGAAGAATTGACAGCTAAAGAACTCCTCAAAACAGATATAAGCAAAATAACTGAACAAGAATTTAGAACAATAGTCATAAAATTAATTGCTGGGCTTGAAAAAAGCATGGAAGACATCAGAGAAACTATTTCTACAAAGACTATGGAGCTTAAAAATAGTTGTGATGAATTAAAAAATGCTGCAAATCAGGTGCATAACAAAATGGAGGCGTCCAATGCACAGATTGAAGAGACAGAGAGGAGAATAAGTGATTTAGAAGACACAATTATAGAAAAAGAGGAAGCTGAGAAAAAGAGAGATAAACTGATCCAGGAACACGAAAGGAGAGTTTGAGAGCTCAGCGATACAATAAAATGGAATAATATCCGAATCATGGGAATTCCAGAAGAGGAAGAGAGAGGGAAAGGCGCTGAAGGAGTCCTTGAACAAATTATAGCAGAGAACTTCCCCCAAGCTGGGGAAGGAAATCCAAGAGGCACGGAGAACTCCCCTCAGACATAACTTGAATTGATCTTCTGCATGACATATCATAGCGAAACTGGCTAAATAAAAGGACAAAGAGAGAATTCTGAAAGCAGCTAGGGAGAGTCCTAACATACAAAGGGAAACCTATCAGAGTGGTGACAGACCTATCTACTGAAACTTGGCAGGCCAGAAAGGAATGGCAGGAAATCTTCAATGTGATGAACAGAAAAAAGATGCAGCCAAGAATCCTCTATCCAGCAAGCCAGTCCTTCAGAACAGAAGGAGAGATAGAAGTCTTTCCAAATAAGAATTGAAAGCATTCGTCACCACAAAACCAGCCCTACAAGAAATCCTGACGGGGACTCTCTGAGGGAAATGTTGCGAGGAACACAAGATACTAAAGACACCACCACAAACATAAATCCCACAAAGAACACAATGACTTTAAATCCATATTTTCCAATAATAACACTGAATGTAAATGGACTAAATGCCCCAATCAAAAGACATAGGGTAGCAGAATGGATAAAAAAAACAATCCATCCATATGCTGTCTACAAGAAACTCATTTTAGACTGGAGGACACCTTCAGATTGAAAGTAAGGGGATGGAGAAATATCTATCATGCTACTGGAAGTTAAAAGAAAGCTGGTATAGCTAATCTTATGTCAGGCAAACTGGACTTTAAAGTAAAGACAGTAACAAGGGATGAAGAAGGGCATTATGTAATAATTACAGGGTCTATCCATCAGGAAGAACTAACAATTATAAATGTCCATGCACCAAATATGGGAGCACCTAAATATATAAAGCAATGGATAGATCAACTAGACAGAAAATCACTAAAGACACAATGGACTTGAATGACACATTGGACTAGATGGGTTTGACAGATATATTTAGAACACTACATCCTGAGGTCTTGGAATTCAATTTCTTCTCAAGTGCGCATGACACATTCTCCAAGATAGATCACATACTGGGACATAAAGCAGCCCTCGATAAATAAAAAAAAATTGAGATCATACCATGCACACTTTCAGATCACAATGCTATGAAACTTGAAATCAGTCACAGGAAGAAGTATGGAAAACCTCCAAAAACACAGAGGTTAAAGAACACCCTACAAAAGAACAAATGGGCCAATCAGGCAATTAGAGAAGAAATTTAAAAATATACGGAAACAAATGAAAATACAACAATCCAAACTCAATGCGATGTGGCAAAGGCAGTCCTAAGAGGAAAGTACATTAAACTCTTGGCCTATTTCAATAAATTAGAAAAAGCACAAGTCCAAAATCTAACAGCTCACCTAAAGGAACTAGAGGGAGGGAGACCAACAGGAGCACTCCAAACCCAGTAGGAGAAGAGAAATAATAAAAATCAGGGCAGAAATAAACAATATAGAAACCAAAGAAACAGTCGAAGAGATCAATGAAACCAAGAGTTGGTTTTTTGAAAAAATAAACAAAATTGACAAACCTCTAGCCAGGCTTCTCAAAAAGAAAAGAGGGAACACTCAAATAGACAAAATCATGAATGAAAATGGACTGATTTCAACCAACCACTCAGAAATACAAGTAATTATCAGGAAATACTATCAAAAATTATATGCCAACAAAGTGGACAACTTAGAAGAAATGGACAAATTCCTAAACACACACTCACTACCAAAATTCACACGGGAAGAGATAGAAAATCTGAACAGACCCATAACTAGTCTTCTCTGCCATCTTGCCTCCTCTAAACGTTTATTATTTTGGAAAAAAGACAGTCTTTGTTTTAAAATCTAGTTTGGTAGAAGTAGCTACTCTGGCTTTCTTTTGATGTCCAGTAGCATGATAGATGGTTCTCCATCCCCTCATTTTCAATCTGCAGGTGTCTTTAGGTCTAATATGAGTCATTTGTAAGCAGCATATACATGGGACTTTTTTAAAAAAAAACGTTCTGATACCCTATTTGTCTTTATTGGAATATTTAGTGCATTTATATTCACAGTAATATTGATAGAAAAGAATTTAGTGCCATTGTAATGCCTGTAAGATTGGTGTTTCTGGTGATTTTCTCTGTTCCATTGTAGTCTTTGTTGCTTTTGGTCTTTCTTTCCCACGCAAATAATCTGCTTTAATATGTTTTGCAGAGGTGGTTTAGTGGACGCAATCTCCTTTAGTTTTTGTTTGTCTGGGGAACTTTGATTTCTCCTTCTATTCTGAATGACAGCCTTGCTGGATAAAGTATTCCTGGTTGCATGTTTTTTCCCATTCAGCATGTTGAATATAACCTGCCACTCTTTTCTGGCCTGCCAGGTTTCTGTGGACAGATCTACTGCTAACCTGAATTTTCTTTCCTTGTAGATTAGGGGTTTCTTTAACTTGCTGCTTTCAGGATTCTTTTCTTATCTCTGTATTTTGCAAATTGTCCTATGATATATTTTGGCATTGGCTGGGTTTTGTTTAATTTAATAGTTCTCTGTGCTTCCTGGATTTAGATATCTATGTCCTTCCCCAGATTAGGGAAGTTTTCAACTATAATTTACTAAAATAAACTTCTGCCTCTTTTCCCCTCTCTTTTTCTTCTGGAAAACCTATGATACAAATGTTATGATATTTTCTAGAGTCACTGAGTTCCCTATGTCTACATACAGGATCCAATACCATTCTTTCCCTCTTTTTCTTAAGCTTTGTTATTTTCCATAATTTTCTCTTCCTTACCACTGATTCATTCTTTTGCTTCATCCTTCCTTGTTGTCATTTCAGTCAGTCTGTTTTGCATTTCAGTCATAGGATTTTTAAAAATTTCAGCCCGAGTAGGTTTTACATCTTTTATTTCTGTAATAAGGGGATTTTTTAGTATCTTCTATGCTTTTCTAAGCCCCAGGTAGTATCCTTGTGATCGTTGTTTT